TTCTAAAAGAAACATAACAATAATGTTTTATGTACTTTCACTTTTCACGTATAGTATAACTACTCTTTAAGATTAAGTACTGTGTATCTCAAAAACCAGAGCTAATAAAAATTTTTCATTGTTATTTTCGTTTTTATCACCCCAGAATTAGTAGAAATTGACTAATTTAGTGTAGGAAACATTCAAAAAATATTTTTTTGTTGTGTTGTGTTATTAAAGGAACAGTTGTATGGTTGAACTTGTGAATCAGAAGCTGAAATAAAATGAAAAGTGATAGAACTGATAGGATTTCAAAGGTGGTAGACTTTATTTACTATAGGAAAAAAAAATCATGCATTTTTTTATGCACTTATAAATTTTTGAAACTTGTGTGTTAATTCAACATACTTCCTAAAACTAAGAGTTCAACCATAACAAATCATTAAAAGCATTAATGGAAACTTGGCATAGGCTGACCAACACTTCAGTAATTGATAGCTTGGGTCAAATCAAAAATGAGCATGCGCCAAATTGAAATATTTCCTTAGAGGTGTCATTGACCCGGTACATTTCAAAATGATTGATTCTAATTTGTATCTTATAATGTAAAAATGAATGAAATTTTCATCAGTAAAGTAATATATTAAATGAAAAACAATTGCGGCTATCTTATCATATGCATAAATCGGATACTTAGGTATTATTAACTAGGTATATAGTTATCCGAGTTGCCAATGATGAGTCGTCGAATTACTCGATTTTTGACAGGATCCAACGTTTTCAAAAAGTCGGCGTTTTCTGATGAAAACGTATGTTGAAAGCAAGAAATGTGTTGCCACAAAAGTCAATCTCCTCATGGATTGATACAAAATGTTCGACACCTTCATTTTTACTTCTCAAGGCTCAATTTGGGAAAAGTATTTTAGAAGAACTCGTGCACAATCAGTTCAATTATATCGTTCAAACTATGTAGTGATGAAAACATCTAAAAATCCATTGAATATGCACCAGTCCTCTACTGCCAAAATAATTCGGTATAAATGTACGGTACGAGCAAGGTTATTGGTACAATTCAAAATAGCACATTCGAGAGGAAGATTTTATTTTCTTGAAGATGAGCACTTGGTAATAGAAATACGTGTCGAGGTGTTAAAAATAAAGGTTTGGTGTTGGGACTAAACTCCAGTAATATTCATTCATCACGTTCTTGATTCTGTTTCTGTGATTAGTTTCATCGCTGGAATCGAGGATCGTAGTTGATGAATTTGGTACGGTTTTGACAGGTGACATTTACAAAATTTCATAAAATAGAAGATATTCTTCATTTTTACCTGAAACCTAGTACTTCCTCCTAGTAGTACTTCATCTATCGACACATTTACATTTATAAACACCTTGTTTGCAACTATACCTTTTCTCTTCCTACAGGTACCTCCTTGTTTAAAGTCGACTCTATTTCCCAACCCGCTATATATTAACCCTGGTGACGTCATAAATTTCTTCGAATGCAGAATGCAACGTCAAAATAAGTAAAAAATGTAGGTTAGTTAGGTTAGGAGAGAGTTTTTAAAAGTATTTGGTGCTAATTTATGACAAAATAAAGTATAAGAAAAAATGACGATTTTGAGGAACAGAAAACAACAAAATGATAAAAACCCTACCACTAAATTCGAAGAACTGAAAGCAGATAGTGAAGATGGGATAAAATCATCTCAAGAAGCGCCAGTGAGCAATAAATCAGACATGTTGCCCCTTAGTGACAACATACATAACGATTCTCCCCAACTGAAAAATGAAGTAGAAATAAAGAGGACAGTTGAACACAATTTATTCAGAGTGAACTGTGAGATAGACATTCTCTCTATAATTTTATTCTTATGCGGACTCGTAACAAGAATGTACAAACTTGAGGAGCCTAAAAACATAGTGTAAGTCAATACTAGTCATGATAGATTGCCTAATAATGTTACTTTCGTAGAATCTAAGTTTCAAATGAAACTAACAGTTATTTTGTTAATAGCATTACTGAAATCACTGATGGCATTATCCATAATGATGGACGGAAATAATGTATGTGCAATAATCTTGTGTCTTCTTTTCAGGTTTGACGAATTGCATTATGGAAAGTATGTTTCTTTATACATGAAGAATACTTTCTTTTTCGACTCTCACCCACCTCTTGGCAAACAGCTGATTGCTGCTGTAGCTCACATAGCAGGCTACGATGGAAAGTTCAGATTCGACAAAATAGGCAGTCCATATCCTTCCTCCTTGCCCTTATTTGCTTTGAGGTTTGTTCCAGCGTTTTTCGGTAGCCTCATAATTCCCACTGTATATCACTTGATGCTAGAGGTAGGTCTCTCGCAATGGACTTCATTGCTGGCTGCTTTACTTTTTTTGTTTGACAATGCGTTCCTAACTCAGAGCAGGTTCATTTTGATGGAATCAGTTCTAATATTCTTTTCCCTGTTTGGAATCCTCTGCATCGTAAAGTTCAAGAAATACTCTGATAGGCCTTTTTGCTTGTTTTGGTTTCTATGGATTGTTCTTGCTTCTGTCTCCCTAACGTGTGCTTTGAGTGTCAAGTATATTGGGTTTTATACATGTTTTCTGGGAGCTGCTATTCTGCTGAGAGATTTCTGGAGACTGTTGGCTTCGCCGAAAATATCAGATGTGGCTTTGTTCATTAGGTTTTGTATTCAATCAGCAGTTGCATTGACAGTTGCTCTTTTAGTATATTTAGGTGTGTTTTACGTTCATCTGAGCATCCTAAATAAGGCGGGGCCGCACGATAGCATCATGACGAGTGCATTTCAGGCGTCTTTGGAGGGAGGATTGGCGAGTATTACTAAAGGACAGCCCCTCCAGGTGGCTCATGGTTCACAAATAACTTTACGGTGAGTAAAATAATAGTAAAGTTATAAACATAATGCTAATTACATATTAGTAATCAAAAAATATTCTAGAGGCTTTTTAACAATGTTGAATATATGGCCATTGTTTTCAAGATGTTTGAAATATTTTTACCAATACCAAAATAGGCTAAAAATTCACCCCAAGGAGGGGTGTTAGGACCACTTTAATTTAATTACATAAACTTTCTCACTGATAGAAATTAATGTGTGAAAACTAGATATTTTACATAAAAAAATTTATGTCATTTTCAGAGTACTGCAGGGTGGTCACCAAAGCCCTATTCGTTGATGTTATCCATCTAGAATTGAAGCAAAAAAATTATCCTCTTTGAGATGACTGGAAAATAAAATCATATTTCTCTATTATACCTCAATAGGTTATTTCAATAGTGTATCAAAAATCAGGAGATTAAAAATGTATCCTGATATCCCTTCGAAAGAAATTTAACTTGTGCTGCACCACATGGATCAGTTATTGGACCTGTTCTCTTTATAATATATGTAAACTTATGGTGTGGAGATACATTTGAATTATTTGATAATAATAGTATTGATGAAATTAAAATTTACTTTGAAAATGAGAGAGAGAGAATTGACGTGTTCAGGAGATAATAATGATAATAATAAAAATGATGATGAATCTAGGAAACATCTAGATTTTTTACATTTGGAAAATCAACTCTAAACCCAGGGCTGACATCAAAGGCGAAATTCAAATAAATAATTCAAAATTACTGATTTGAAGACTTATTCCCAACTCTAAACTTGGCCTCTATTTATATCTAACTGGGTACAACTTCATTGTTAGTCAACAGAGTGATTCATATGAAGATAAATAGTGTACTCTTTGGAAAGGGACTTTCATCACTGTTCATTATTCTCATGTCACATTTTACTATTTCCAGATTTTTGAAAGCACCCAAACATCTAGTATTATATAGAAAGAAATCTATGATGGTGTAGCTTCGACTGTACTATTTACTTAGCGATCACCATCTTATAATAAGCACTCAGACTACATACTTCTTGGACAAACTTCTAAACCTTTTTATACCTATTTTTCATATGAATAGTCATACACATGGAAGAACCTGTTGGCTTCATTCCCACAATGCCCTCTACCCGATCCGATACCCTGACAAAAGAGGATCTAGTCATCAACAACAGGTCACATGCTACTCTTTTAAAGACGTCAACAATTGGTGGATTGTTAAAAGGCCTGACAAAGATGATCTGATTGTGGAACAACCTGTAGACGCTATTAAGCATGGAGATGTCATTCAGCTTGTACATGGTACGTAGGGTTAGTGAACCGTTGGTTACTTCATTCACTACTATTATCGATTTTTTATATTTTATGAAATAGTCTGCAGAAAATTATTGTTTTCAAGATACAGGGTCTTGGCTTTTAGTCTGTACTTAGGCTGCACAAGTATCTCATGACTTTTAACTTCCGTAGCAAAAATAAATAGATTTTTTTCACCTTACATAGTGCTCTGTAGCAAACAGTTTGGTTTTCAAGTTGAAAGAGTTATCTGAGAAATACTGCAATATTATGTGACCTTTCGAAGATTTTCAGGTGCATCAATCACAAAGGACGAGATATTACTCAAAAATTTTACCTGTAACAGTACTCGCCATACAAACGATTGGAATTATATCTTTCAGGACTGAAACTATCAGAAAAGAAAGTACTGATTGAAATGGCTCATTCCTCATACTCTTTCTGTTGTAATAGTTGATCCATAGTTATTATATAATTTTCACACTATGAATTCTATTCAAGACTTTGCATCAAACTATTCTACAATGTGTTCTATATAACAGTAGGTAAACTCAAACCCTAATTAAATGAATGATTATTTCTGGTAAAACAGGTAGGTTTTGAAAAAACAATTACAATACAATATTACTTCCAGGAAAACAGATAATTTATAAATATATTAATTACTGGCATTGCCTGTCAAAACTACTTTTAGGAAAACAGGTAATTCATAAATATGTTACTGCCATTTTATGTCAAAACTTAATTAGATAAATGATTAATTATCACAAAAAGGTAGATTTTCAAAGACAATATTATTTCTGGGAAAGAAAACAGTTGATTTGTAAATATTTTATTCATCGACATTTTATGAAAACAAGTTCAATAATAGTGAATGAATAACTTTTTGTTGATCGGTAAAAAAATTGAATATTTTCGTTTATTGATTTTCTGAGATTCTAGTAGGTTTAGTTTATGTCCTTTACTTTCTATATGTTTGTATGTTGAAATCGTGATTATTCTCAAAAAGGTGGCAAGCAGTTGGAATTAATTTTCTTCAACTCAAAACTTATTTCATGGTCGGAGATTTTCCTTTTTTATATAAACTTTTGGGCACGATCCACATATTTGTGTGGATCAACAAAATAGGAAAGACTTCAAGAAATTTCAAAACGAGAATCTCCGAACATAAAAAAAGTTTTGAGCTAAAGAAAACTGTTTTGACCTATGCTTGAGAATAACCACGATTTCAACATGGACTGCGATATATTACATACAGAAAATAAACGACAAAAAATAAACCTGCTAGAATATTCATTTTTCATTTTGTAACTTCGAGGGCCCGTAACTTGGTTACGAAGACTTTTAGGAAAAAAAGTTATATGAAGTACTGGTGATATTTTGACCCCATCTATATGTTTCCGAGAGGAAAAGAGGAAGTCCAGGGACACCCTGTATAATCTTCTGGACGGGGATCTCAGAAAAGAAGTTTTCATACGATTCGTTCATATTTTCATAATTATTGTGATCAAAGTTCAAGTTGTCACTTTCTTTGTAGGTTTGACGTTTTCAGCAAATATATTGGCTTTTTCAGAAAGTGACTCATATTCAATGTTGTTATCTATAGTATTTTCAGTATTTATTCCATTCTTTTTGTATTTGGATAATTTTCTTATTCTGTTCCATTAGGTTTTGCTTCTCTTCTCATGTATGGATTCATATGTTTATCAACTTGTGAGTTCTGAATTCTTGAATCAGATTTTGAATATCCTTATTATGCTCATTATTTATAGATTTGGATATCTGTCTGATCTACATTTACAAAAAATTTTTCTATTTTTCTTAAGTTCATGTGCGTAGAAATTATATTAAACTTTATATTTTCTATAATTGTTTCATTTTCTATAATGATTTCATTTAACATATATCTATGTAAGTCATCATAGATTCATTTGCTTTTTCCATATACATTTTCTGGAAGTTATAATGCATGATTTCTTCTGATTCTCTTTTTCTCTATGTCGAACGATATTTTAAGAGCTAAGTGATGAGACCCCAGATCAGGTGTTAGCTCTACTTCTATTTATTTGGTGCAATATTATTTGTTTATAATAATAAATCTGGAAAAGAGCATTCACCAGGAAAGTTGAGATTGAGTTTATTTGTTTATTTATTTATTCACGACTTCAAAACCCATTTCACTCAATACAATTAAAAAAAAACAAAATAATGAAAAGCATTATACAACAACACAAAAATACAAATAAGAAAACACACATAAAAAACTAATTAAAACTAGTCAATGAAGAAATAAAGAAATCATAGTCTGTTTTATTTGCCCCTCTTGTAGTTTGTGGTACACAGGAATGAAGGTACTGTTTAGTTCTGCAGTGTGGTTGAGAAAATGTAAGTGTATTTCTAGTGAATTTAGGAAAGGCCGAAAGTCCGAAAATGGATTCTTCTTCATTCTAGTGTTGATATTGAAATCTCCGATAATGATAGCATATTTATATGAACGTGCTTCTGTAAAAATGGTTTCTTCAATATGAGATGTTGAATGTATTTTAGAAAAATGTGCAGTTTGTCATCTAGGAAGTGAATGGTGCAATGTATGCATTCATTTAGGTAATTCTTTATGGTTGGAGGATTTGCTCTCCTGGTTTTTAGTTGCGGGGGTATGCTTGGACAAGAGATCCCCCTCTGGTCCTGTTGTGGATTTGATTACCATTTAGCTGAATAAATGACCAGTCTCGATATGTTGTGTTGAGTCATTCTTGGTTTTTGCTTCCACAAACAATGAATAATCCATACTAATGTTTTCATTGTAAATGCAGATGAAGTGTTGTCTGCATGAGAAGCTGTTTATTTTAAGGTATAACAAAATATTTTGAAATATGAGAAATTAAACTAAACTATCTAAGCACGATGGCCGTGGGGTCTACATTGAAATTGTTGGCAAATCTGTTTCTCAATTTTTGAATCAGTTCCTGTCTGTTAATATTTATCACATTGTTCAGTTCAGTGATATATGAGTTGATAATAAAATCATGAACTGTTATGGCTTGGTGAATTTTACAGTTTTCCTTCTCTTCTGGTATTTCATGAGATTATATGTTCCGAGATTCAATATGTATATTGGGTTCATCTGGAATTGGTGCAGTGGATCTCATCGGGCGGAAGATTAATCTTCAATCTTCCTGTTGAAGATGATCACTTGGTGATTGAAACAAGTGTCGAGGTGTTAAAAATGACAGTTTGGTGTTGGGATTAAACGCCAGTAATATTCATTGACTCACAATTTGTTTTATGCATGATCCTATCTGTGTTTCTTTGATTTCAACATTTACCACCTGAGGAAATAGTCTTTCCCGCATATTACAGAATGCTCTTCTGGAATACCCTGTATCAACAGCTAGTTTTCAACTGTTGATTTTTCGAATTGGAATGCACTGCTGTTTTTGTGGAGGTTGAAGGATTGGAATTAGTAAACCCAAAATAATTCTTTGAATTTCTGGACTGGAGGGACTTTCAAAACGTTTTCTTGGTTTTCATTTAAGCGTCACTTTTCTCTAATATTCCTCTGTTTCAGTGTTCATAATTGTTTTATGCTAACATGCTAACTAACAGGAGCCAATTAATCTTTGCCTGATAAATGTAAAATGTGCCATACCACAAACACAAACATAATGCAGCCAATATTATGGTTTCATGGCCGCTTGCTCTAAAGCTCGTTATTTGAAATTTTCAATAACTAAAAGTTCGCATCACCAGATCTACTCATTGCGGTACCATCAGTTTGTTTGTAAAAAAACACTACTACTGGGAATAAAATTATGATGAACAATGAGCACAGAGGGAGGTTGAATCTGCCAGGATAACTTTGCCAATCAGCCGTATTGTGTCTTTGACGGGATCCACCGTGTTCAAGGAGATCAATTAACAATGGAACGAGAAACACAAGGGACCTTCTTGCCTTCTTAGAAGTTCTTGTGAAAAAACGTGAAAACGGGGCATTGGGTCATAGAGTGCACAGGAAACCAACACACACAGACATATAAGTGAAAAAACTCTATCTAACCACCAGCCAAGATAAAACTGAGAGGTAATAAAACCTTGGTTGAGAGGGCCCGATGCATCTGTGAACCTGAGTCTCCCTGAGGAACTTCAAACACATTTGGTATTCCTTTCAACTTAGAACCTTGGTCAACGATAAAACGGTTGCACATAGGATTTATAACTGCTATTAAAGCCCTTTATTGTTCACTGGCCCGTCCACACCTGGAGTATTGTTCTTCAGTCTAGTCTCCTCAATATGTAACTTATATCAAGAACATCGAAAATGTCTAACACAACTTCCTTAGATACATAGCATATAAATCCGGTGTTCGTTGCGAGTATGAGTTGCTACTGATATCTCTGACCATGTCCTTCCTGGAAACTAGGAGGAAACATAGAGAGACCTGACACTACCTTTCAATATAATTAACGGCAAATGCAGTTGTGCTGAACTCCTAGAAAAAATGTATCTACATGTTCAAAACCGCTCGACTTGACAGCAACACACATTTTATGTACCATTTTATCGTTTAAACCACATATTCAATAGCTGCATTCCAAGAATCTTACAATTAGCCAATAGTAACATTGATCTTGAGATGTTCAACGTCTCCTTGCATCATTTCAAAACTCAACGGAATACTATGCTTTGATTTTTTAATGTATAGCTTAAGGTAGAATATATGGTATATGTTTTATTGATGCTCATTGTCTTGTCATTTTATATTTAAATTAACCCCTTTTAAACGTTAAATTAACCCCTTTTAAGCTATTCTTAGTTAGAATTTGTATTTCAGTACATTATTTGATTTTATTTTAATTGAAAAATCTGTTTTTAAAATCTGTTTTTCCGTTAATCAGCTGTCGCCCCCATACGAACGACAACTCTCAGAAGTTGAGAAACTTGTGCGAGCTAAGGACTAACGAGGTCTTAGCTTTTAACGTGTGATTCCTAACACAGTTGCAGAATCATCCCAGCTTCAACCAGATAAATTCT